ATGGCGGGGCGGTGACTATGGTTCCTTAGGTCATATTTGATGTCTTGGAAATTTTTTAGACGATCCGGGTTTGGGGGCCCATGCGGAAGGCGTGGGCTATAGCACACGAAAATAAGAGAATCAGGCGGAATTCTATTTTTATGGCCGTAAAATGCCAAAACATAAGAAACGGTCATGGCGAGGCGGTGACTATGGTTCTTTAGATCGTATTTAATGGTCCGGATAAATTTTTGGCAACCCGTGTCCGGGGTTCTAGGGCCATGCAGAAGGCGTGGGCTATAGACAACGAAAATCTAGGAATTAGGCGAAATTCAAGTTTGATGGCCGTAAAATGCCAAAAAATGAGGAACGGTCATTGAGGAGTGGTGACTATGGTTCCTTAGGTCGTATTTGATGGACCGAAATAATTTAAGGTGATCCGGGTCCAGGGTTTCGGGCCCAAGCGGAAGGCGTGGGTATCACATGAAAATTTAGGAATTGGATGGATCTAGTTTTATGGCCGTAAAATGGCAAAAAATGAGGAACGGTCCTTGCGGGGCGGTGACTATGATTTCTTAGGTCATATGTTATGACTTGAAATATTTTAAGGCAATCCGGGTTTGGGGACCCGAGCCAATGCGGAAGGCGTGGGCTATAATAGCACACAAAAATCAAGGAATCGGGCCGAATTTCAGTTTTATGGCCGTAAAACGTCAAAAAATGAGGAAAGGTCATGGTGGGGCAGTGACTATGGAACCTTAGGTCGTATTTGATTGCTCAGAATAATTTTAGGCAATCCGGGTCCGGAGGCCTGGGCTCATGCAGAAGGCGTGGGTTATTACACACGAAAATCAAGAAATCGGGCGGAATTCCAGTTTATGGCCGTAAAATGACAAAAATGGGGAACGATCATGGCGGGGCGGTGTCTATGGTTCCTTAGGTCATTTTTAAAGGCCCAGAATAATTTTAGGCATTCCGGGTCCGGGGCCCCGAGCCCAAGCAGAAGGCGTGGGCTATAGCTCACGAAAAACTAGGAATCAGACGAAATTCCAGTTTTATCGCCGTAAAATGCCAAAAAAAGAGGAAGGATCCTTCCGGGGGTGGTGACTATAGTTCCTTAGGTCATTTTTGATGGCTTGGAATAATTTTACGCGATTCGGGTCCGGAGGCCCGGGCCCAAGCGGAAGGCGTGGGCTATAGCACACATAAATCTAGGAATTGGGCAGAATTCTAGTTTTATGGCCGTAAAATAGCAAAAAACGAGAAACGGTCATGGTGGGGCGGTGACTACGGAACCTTAGGTCATATTTGATAGCTCGAAATAATTTTAGGCAATTCGGGTCCGAGTGCCCGGGCCCATGAAGAAGGCGTGGGCTATTGCACACGGAAATCAAGGAATCTGATGGAATTCCAGTTTTATGGCCGTAAAATGCCAAAAAATGAGGAACGTGCATGATAGAGCGGTGACTATGGTTCTTTAGGTCATTTTTGATAGCCCGGAATAATTTTAGGTGATCTGGGTCCGGGGGCCCGGACCCATGCAGATGGCGTGGGCTATAGCATACGAAAATCTAGAAATCGGGCAAAATTCCAGTTTTATGGCCATAAAACGCTAAAAAATGAGGAACGATCATGGCGGGGCGGTGACTATAGTCCTGAAATAATCAGATCAAGTATTTGTTCTATGCATTCGCGAGGTTAAGCTAGCGATTGTGAATCTTTGAGGGGTTATGATACGCAAACATGTGAGAGGGGACATGTTCGTGAAGAAGGACGAGGAGGCCTGAGAATTTCTACATGTTGTTCATCGCGATTGCGTATTGTGGGTGATTGGTCATCGTATTCGGGACTTGGGTAGCGCGTTCACATAGGGTTTTTTGCTACTGGAGGCTTTTGTTCTTCGCGATCGCGAAGGACTTCTTACGATCGTAATGTGTTATAATTGGGCAGCAGGTTTAAAATTCCAAATCGAGGACGAGTATTTGTTTAAGAGGGGGAGAATGTAACGACCTGACCGGTCGTTTTGAGTATTGTAGCCCCGTTCCCTCATTTATCATTTCTTGTATGTTCATTTATGGTTATGTGACTTGACAGGGTGGTTGGTATGGTTCCGAGGATGTTTCTGAGTGAGTTGGGATACTTAGTCCCAAGGTTGGAAGCTTAAGTTGAAAGAGTTAACCGGATATTGGCTTTTGTGTAAATTGCTCTAGAATGGAGTTTTGACGGTTCTGATAGCTTCGTATGTTGATTTTAAACTTACACGTATGTCCAGATTTGGATTTGGCGGTCCGTAGGTTGTTTTGGCGTGAATTGGCAAAAGTTGGAGAGTTGAGGGTTTGGAAGGTTGAGAAGTTTGACCGAGAGTTGACTTTGTTGATACTGTGCTCGGAATTTTGGTTTCTAGAGTTGGAGTAGGTCCGTTGTGTCAATTATGACTTGTGTGCAGAATTTGAGGTCAATCGGAGTTGGTTTGGTATGATTCGACATTAGTTTTAGAAACTAGAAGTTCATTAGGCTTGAATTGGGGTGCGATTAGTGATTTCGATGTTGTTTGATGTGATTTGAGGCTTTGACTAGGTTAGTATCGTGTTTTAGGACTTGTTGGTATGTTTGGATGGGGTCCCGGGGGCCTCGGGTATATTTCAGATCAAGTTCGAACTCATTTTGGACCTTGTTGGATTGATGATATCTGTGCTTCTGGTTTCCTCTTACGTGATCACGAGGAGATGACCGCAATCGCTCTATGCATTCGATAGGTTAAGTCTCTGATCACGAAGCTTTGAGGGTTGTGATATGCAAACGCGTGAGAGGAGACGCGTTCTCGAAGAAGGAAGAGGAGTCCTGGGAATTTCCACGCTTTGTTCATCGCGATCGCGTGAAACTGTCCCCGATCGCATATTGTTGGGTGATTGGTCATCGTGTTCGTAACCTGGGGAGCACGTTCGTGTAGGAGGTTTATACTACTGGAGGTTTTTGTTCTTCACGATCATGAAGGACTTTCTGCGATCGCAATGTATTGTAACTGGGCAGTATGTTTAAAATTCCAAATCGACGGTTAGAGTATTATTTTTATTGTTTTGAGTTGTAGAGCTCAGTTTTGGGCGATGTTGGTGGGGGTTTTCACTTCTTGGATTAGGGTAAGCATTTATGACTCAGATTTGTTGTTATATCATGATTCCATCTTTGTTTTATCATTTAATTAATGGATTAAAGTGAAGAAATGGAAGATTTTGTGGAAACTTTTCAAAAATAAAAAATGGAGGTCTGAAGGCCGATTTGAGGTCGGAATTGGATGATTTTGGTATGGTTGGACTGGTAATTGAATGCATGTTCGGAATTTGTGAATTTTGTCGGGTTCCTAGGTGCGAGCCCAGGGTTGACTTTCGATCTTGTTTAAAGATCTTAGCTTTATCTTTTGAAATCACTTCCTATAGCTTCTATTGATAGTATTGCGTTATTTTGACTAGATTTGAGCCTTTTGGAAGTTGATACGCACGAGAAGGGCTTGTTAGCGGAGTGATTTGGTTTGTTAGAGGTAAGTATCTTATCTAAACTTGGTTGAGGTATTAGTTGCCTGAATTATTTGTGATAGCTACGTGCTATGGGTGACACATTTGTGTGTAGTTGAGCCCATATGCGTGCGCCGGGTACTATATCCATGCTCAGGCTAGTGCTTAGGCCATGACATGCCTTGTAATGATTGCTAAATTTCAAGTAGAGATGTTTCTACTATTTGTACCCCTCTGTGAGCTATTTGTACCATATTTGAGATTTCATTGAGGTTATTCTTCCGTTTGAACCTGATAAACTGCTAATTCTTGATGGAAATTGTTTGTTCTAGTTGTGATCGCAAACATTGCACATGCCTACACTATAACATGTCATTTATACCAGTCCAGGAGTATGAATTTGATAATCATTGATCATGTACCTGTATTTTCGCATATTTGCTTTCTCTATGTTATGAGCTGGACTGGTAGCGTGTGACCACGCCGGGCGGATTGTAATTGTTGGCACGTAAGTTATCAGTGCAACACGTGAGTTGTCTGTGCAGATCTGGATATTGATATTATTAGCACGTGAGTTGTCCGTGCAACACGTGAGTTGTTCGTGCGAGTTATATTAATAACACATGAGTTGTTCGTGTGGCACGCGAGTTGACCCTGCAGCGTGTGGATATGTATCCACTCCCCTAGGGTCACCATATCATGTTTCTCTCTTGATGGCGTACACATGATTATTGAGTAAAACTGATTAGTGGTTTGGTACGAATATAGAAGGGTTGAGGAAAATCTAGCGAGTGTTATTTTCGAATTGCATTTCATCTTTACTTGCAACTTCCACAGTTATTATCTGATTATCAGCATATCATCTTATATCTTGTACCCGTGACTGAGCAGAGATTTTGAATAATTGTACACACACACTGAGACAATCCTTCCATTATCTTATACATGTTCACTTTACTGTTTTATACTTGTTGGATTTTATGAAACTGTATAGGTTATAGCAGGTATCATCTATAATTCTTGTTTCTTTTACCTCACTGAGGTTAGTTACGATACTTATTGAGTACATTGGGTCGGTTGTACTCATACTATACTCTGCACTTAATTATGCAGATCCAGGCACGGAGACCAGTTATCAGCAGTTGGCTTGCTTGATTGGACTGAGTTCGAGAGGCGAGATAGAGCTGCATCCTTGGTCGCAGTGTTAACTTGTCTTTTCCTTACATACTGTCGTTATAGTCCAGACAATGTTATTATTATTTAGTTTCAGACTTGTATTTTGTTGTAAAGCCCATGACTTCGTATTTACCAGTTTCTGAGGGATTGTCCTTGTATTGACAGTATTTTGTTACATCGAGGTTTCAGATTTATGCTATTTCTATAATTTATGTTATTTTGGCTCTTTATTATTAAGTTTCAGCTTGCCTAGCTGGTGTGTTTGACGCCGTCACGACGGGTTCGGATTTCGGGTCGTGACATAAGTATTAAAGTATTTATTGTAAATATAAGGGGTACAGAGAAAATAAATATTTCCATAATAAAGTTCTCTTTCTTGATTATGAGGGGGACCAAGATCGAAAATTACAAGACAATGCCTAAGAAGGATCTTGAGGCTTAGAATCCAATGCAAGGCTTCGAGGGCTAGATATTGAAGGTATGTCTGGAACAGCATTAATTGAAGGAGGCGAGGACTCGAGGTGTGAGGCAACTTCTTCTTCTTCACCACCTTTTTGAACCTTTTGTTCTTGGCCCTTAGCGTCCGGTCGAATCTCACCACCTCCTTGGCTAAATTAGTATCCCCCCTGACTCTTTATATAGACCCCGAGGTGAGCAAGTTAAGCTGCATAGAGAAAAGAGATGAATCAAAGAAAAAGACATAACCTTCAAAAGAAAATCGGGAAAACTTACCCTGGTAGTTTTGTAAGCTATTCGGTCACTAGCGCCTCCAAATTCATGGAAGCCATCTTTTGTCACTCCTTGGTATCCACCAACTTGTGGATATGGGCGATAACATATTTGGGATCTTTGAGAAGATCAACCTCGTTGGGCATAGAGAAAATAATGATCCATTGTACACTAGTGTTGACAGAAAGGTCAACGGAACCCTCATATGCTTGGACAGGAGAATTCATTTGAGATGACAGTGCCTCGGGGCATCGAGAAAGCTCTATAGTTTTTCCTTAAGAGATAGTGTACCAAAAAATTTCAGTCCCTCATCCAGGATCAAATTCGCTGCCTCCTCTCCAGAAAGGGCAATATTTTGGGAACCCTCTTCATCAGAGTCAACTATGAAAAGATCAGGGCACCCAGGTTTGTCGACAATGCCGCTCTAAGCGGCCCAAGAAGTGGCTCAGGGAGTTCCCTCTTCGACCCTGGTGGTTGAAACTATCATTTTAGAAGACCCCTTCCTCTTTGAGGACCGAGAGAGTGGTAGCACTATAGGAGCGTTGACGACACCTTCATGGTATGAATCAACAAGTAGTTGCCGAATTTGTTGAAAGTCATCCACCCTTAAGGCGGGAAGGCTGGTGGGAGGTTGAACTCGAGGACGAGCACCCTTCTCAAGACCCATAAATGCAGAAATTTGCCCATGTCAAACAAATAATATACAATAAATAAGAAAAGCAGATGAACCAAAAAAGATGTTACAATGATATTTTGCTTGAATTCCTCATAGTTCGGTAGCAATGGCCTTCCAGGTTCTCGAGTAGGTTGAGGAAATGCTCAGAACCTTGGACACTCAGTCCTCAATATCAAGAGCCCCATTGAGACCCACCACAAAAACTGTAAGTCACAAATATGTTTAGAGCGATTTCCAAAATAAGTAAAAGGGGGAAAGGAGAAAAGTGGAAGCACATACGATTAAGGTTTCATTTCTCCGGGAACTGAACTTGTCATCCGAGAAGAGGAACTTGGTCAGAACTTGGTCTGTACCACTAAGTAACTCTCAAACCATCTCTGCTCGTAGTCATCGCCATAATTGAATATCAAGGCCATAGAACCCCGATGATTTATCTTAATTATACCCCCAGGATATACTTTGGGGGAATACATGTGGATTATATATTAGAAGGTGAAGAGGACACCAGCCTTTGAAGCCAGGTAACGAAGGCACACAACCAACCTCCACACTTGGGGATTGATTTAGGCTAAGCACGCCTTGTACTTCATGCATGTTTTGGCAATACATTCATCCACCATGGTAAAAGGGTACGTGTAGATGAAGGAATGATGAGGATAGTGACTAGTAAGCCTCTCGAACCTGGGGAGGATGTCCTAGGTAATGAGAGACAGAAACTCGAACATGGGAGAATTTTGGTCGCTTTTCGTCTTGTAGGTCTTCTCTATGGCCTTGCAGTTGTTGTACTTTCTAAACTCCCTTGGCACAATATTCAAAATTATCCATTCTAGCAAGGATTCTGAGTCAACTTTCTTGGTTGTCCTCCCCTTCTTTGTCGGAGGCAAAACTGTTTGAACCACCACCGACTCAACTGCAGCAACGGTGGAGGCACTTTCCCTTGTGCCAGGGACAGAGACGGAGGAGGGACGCCCTTATAAAGAGCTATGACTTTAGGAATCCATGGATAAAGGTTAAGAGATTTGATGGGGGAGGGGGGATCAGAAAGCCTCATTGATTAAAGAAATAAAGTATGTGCACTAATTAGAGAAAGTGAGAGTTTGAAGAAAGCAAAGGTAGAGAGTGAAAACATGACAAACACCACTCTTTTTATGAGTAGAAGTCAGCATTGCCTTGATAACCGCTGATGAAATCATGCATAATCAAACTAAGCCACTCATCCCATACATTAAATAGATGTGACACTTGATATTAAGGATTCAAAATTGAGGTGTCAAAGCAATTTGTTTTCCCACCTAAGGAGCCCTTCTACTTTCAGAAGGCTTCTTGAAATTATCTAGAAGGTAGGGGCCCATATTACGCGTGGAACACACGTGTCAAAAAATTCCACGTACCTAGGCCAAGAAACCCCGTGACGTTTGAGCATCACGCTCATTTCTTATGATCATATTTTCGGTACTGGTAGAGAATCCCTTAAAAAAACTATCTGAAATTAGAAAGAATACTTTCGAAATATCTAAAGTATTTGAATGCTTGAAAATATCTCAGCAAAATATTACTAAAGTCTAGATAAAAAAGCACTGCATTTTATTAATAAAAGGCTCGGTGGAAAGAAAGTGATTCAATGATGCCCCTGACTAGTCAAAACGAAAGAAGAAAGAAAGAAGAGAAAAACTTCTAGAAACTCCAAACATTGGTCACTGCACTGGTCACTTCACTTTACGGGTCCCCTGACAGGAAAGAAGGAGTATACAAATTCGGAGAACCGAGTCAAGAGGCGGTGCAATAGAGAGAGATAGAACAATTTGAGGAATTGAATGGTTATGATGTGACTCAATATACTCCTCTTCGGCATTCTTTTCTAAAAGGTCTAGAAGCGTATCCCTTTTCGAAAAGCCTTCTTCGATAGAAGACAAATTCATAGCCTAGTAGGTCATCTTCACTGCTTGCCTTGGCTTCCCAATCTCCTCCTCCAGATCGCGGATCCCTACTTGGATAGCCTCTAATGTGGACAACTTGGAACTCAAGAAAATAATATTCTGAGCAAGCTCAGATTGCACTTTTAGCCCATCAAGATTTGAGATTGCATCATCCTGTTCATTTTACAGCTTCTCCTCGTCATTCTTAAAAGATTTGGTAGTAGCTTTTCAAGATCCGAGATCCTACTTAAGGTGTCTCCCTAGAACCTTAGCTCGATTAAGTTCATTAATGAGCTTTGCATATTTGTCGATAAGTTGACTCAAACTCGCCTAATTTTGAGAAAGCGAGGTCTCGAGGAACCTCAATCTCTCAACATACCTGGCGATCTGCTGCTCCATTTCACTCTTTACTTCTCTCAACACCTCCTTTGACTACCAGACTTTACTGCTCTATTGAATCTCCAATAACATTTCCTCGTGAAGTAAAAGCCTCTTTATAATTTAGGTTGAAGACAAGTTAGCCAGCAATACAAATACAACACAATGTCACTGACAAGACCAAAATTTAGAAGGAAAAAAGGAGATCGCTGACATACCCGAAGGGTGCAATGAAGCACATCACTCACAAGTCCAATATCGTACTGATCATCCACCCTCTTCCTCTCTATGAGTCTAACTGACTCTCTCGAACATGTGGCTTTGTTTCCCAGGTATTCAGAAGATCTATTCCTTCGGGCACCTCAATCATAACTCGACGCCTGCTAGCCATCATTGAGGGGTCAACTTGGGGAAAGTGCAGGATTGAAAGCTTCAATAAAGATGCAGGCTCAAGTTGGAAAACCCCGAGATCGCACGGACTGATAGGATCACCCTTTGTAACACCATCCCCCGGGTTCAGAATGGAAGCTTCACCTTTTGCTGCCTTTTTGGTTGGGGACTCTATTTTCTCATCTTTAATCAACATAGACTCACTATCTTGAAGATGTGCAGTGCCTCGAACACTCTCAGACCCTATCTTGAAACTGGACATTGTCCTCTTCCTTAAATAACCAACGAAACCATTCACCAGAGTTGGCTTCAACGAGCTTCCCTTCCTTTTTATAGCAGATAACTGCGAAATTCTATCTTGCGTAGAATCGATGGTCGGGGAAAGATCGATTAACATCTAAGAAAGGATTTTTTAGGTGTGATGCATAAAATGGAGGAGTAGACGTGAGAACATGAGACATTGAATCAAAAATACAAATGACATCAATGTTTACCATGAATTTCGGCCCATCATCCCGAAACTTTGAAAATAAACCTCCAAGACCTTTCAGCTATCACGGAAGATAACAATATATTCTCGATCGATCACTCAATACCAAAAACTTCAGGTGCTTCTAAGACAGTTGCAATGTAAAACTCGCAAGTCAAAACAATAGACAACAAACATTAACCGAAATGAAGATAATATACTTATGCTTGTTATTCCATTTGTCTGGAAAGAGCCAATAATCGGAGAGGACCAGTTCTTTATTTGGGACAGTGATGATTCAGTCATACCATCCCTTATCATGGTCATATTCTGTATTCATAAGTACTCACTTACCATGATTGACGACAATGACAATGCTACCCCTTAATGGCCTCAAAGTGTAAAGATGGAGAAGATACCGAAGGAAAAAATCAACCTTAGCCAAATGCGCTAAGAATCAGAGATATGCCACTAATATCTAGACACTTGGACCAACTTGGGCTAAGAAAATATTGAAGTGCCAACAAAAGTCCAAAATTACGGGGTCGATTGGAGGATCGAACCCAAGGGTGAACAGATAGGTATACACAAATGAGAATCCAGACCGATGGTTGGCAGTATTCTTACTCTCTAGAGGTACATAAACGTCAATGTGATCGTACCAATGATATTTCTTTCGGACAAAGGGATATGATCAACACAAATGAGGGAATCAAAGTTGTTCATGCGAGATTTCAAAACTTTACCGCTGCTTTACTCCATGATTTTTCATCCGCCTCAAAATCTAATTGCTTTGGTAGAATGTCTGAAACAAGAGGCTCAATTTTATGCTTCATCTTCTTGATTTAATGGCTTCTAGATCTTCTTCCCTTTTATCACGGAAAACGGAGAAAGTTTCTTTTAAGGGTTCTGCAATGATGCTCGTCTAATTCAACAGGGTTGGATTTGCAAGGTTAAGATCTTGAAAATCTATAATGACGATAATAGAAAAATTAGAAAAACAGAGAAAGATTCAGTGAAGGCTATAAAAATTACAGAAGGAATTGCTCTAGGTAATTGGCAAGCGAAGGAGTCCTATGCACATATATAGATGGGAAACTAACTTTTTACAGTCGTCAAATTTGGAAAAGATTTCCGTCATAAAATCAGTTGGAGACTGTGATCAACAAATAAGCTAGTTAGAGATTGTCATGTATCTCGAATGGTAAATGAAGACTGCACACGCCATCCTAATAACAGGTCATATCACTTTAATAGCAGAATATTATTAAGATTTCTTCCTTCACTAAGAAGAGATCATAGACCAGATTCTCTTATGTCAATTTTTTAAAATACTTTTTGGGCATTTCTTGGAGAACTACCCGACAAGTGAGGGGGCCATCTGTATTGGTAAATTTAGTCTCACCACGTGGTATGACAAAAAATGACTCGTGACAGGAGCGGTTTGAGATCCATAAGCATAAAGGCCGGATCTAGAATAACAGTAGAATTATGGCCAAGGTTGTCCATCTAAATTCGGAGCAAGAGAAACCAGAAGAGCATGTGCTCGAAATAGATTATTCACCTTTGGTGACGAACTCTATTGCACTTGGAACCTTTCGAAGATTGTGGCCCCCATCTGTTATGCTATCACGGTTATTGCTCGCGAGGATCTCGCCATCCCACTAACCACTTACAAATATGGGGGCTAGAAATTTGGAGCGGCAACATCCTATTTAGGCAATACCTTACCTTACTTACTTGTAACGCACACGTGATGACACACAACACATTAGATTTCTCATTGTTTATCTTCCATAGCCTTCTGTGAAGATATCATCTTGATTAGATCCTTCAAGGATTGTTGTACACTCTAATATAGTTATACAAGAGGTCAACACTCAATAAGAAGTTTTTTATCTCAATCTTTATTTCGTTAATTCATCATTATTGTTCTTCATTTTATTATATGTACTTTTGATTGATCTGTTTGCTAGTGACCTTAAATATAAATTTAATTATTTATTCTCAAATAAGTTTTAGGTTAAACATCTATTATTTGTTGTCTACTCCTGATGTGTGGTGCAGTTTTTGATATTTGATAGGACCTTTTTGGTATTTCTACTAAAATATCTTTTTTTTCACAATTTTCGTTAAATCTAACTATTAGAACTTGTTACATATTTGATGGAGATTAAAAGTACTTAAATTTAACAAACTTAATATGCTAGTTTATTAAGGAAATGTTGAAATTATAGAGGGATAATTTCATAAACCTTCGCTCACGTTTGGCTTCTAACACTAACCCCTCTTGTGGTTTATGATATATGTTTACCTCTCTTATTTTAATATTTCTTGTAATGATTCTTTTAATATATTTATTATTAATATAAAAAATTATAATCTTACCAAAATGCCCTTTTCTAGTACAATTTTTTATTTAATAATTTTATTAACAATGAGGTTGAAACCTAAAACCTAAAGCCTAATTGATTTCTCCTATAACATAACATAAAAAATTTATGTGGTACCTAGTTTTGTACCACCCATTGAATTTGTATTCACTTTTTAAAATTTTTAATTGATATCAATTTTTGGTTAACTTCAGATACAAACACCTTTCTATTCTTCTTTGCTGCTACTTTCTTCTTTTTTTATGCTTATAGTTTCTTCTTCTTCTTAGTTGCAAAATAATTTTGTTAAATTTATTATTTTTTTGATAATTTGATAATTGGAGTTTGTTCTTAATGATATTTGAAAATTATATTTTAAATTTGCGCTCATTTAGAGTAGATTTGGACATTGAATAGTGTATTAGACTGTTGAAATTCGAAAAATAAGTTTATATTTCAGAACTTAATATTCGAAATCTGAAGTTGCATCGAAGAGATTGAACTTCTTAAGATTCATATTTCTGAATTTGCATTTGAAAGATAAAAGAATTTCAGATTTGATTTCTGAAGTTGCATTGAAGAGATTGATATTATTAAGATTCGAATTTTTGAAGTTGCATTTGAAAGATTAAAAACTTCAGATTTGATTTCTGAAGTTGTATTGAATAAATCGAACTACTTAAGATCGGAGCGGTGCACTTTGCAAAAATTTGTATAATGTGGCTATAACTTCAATGATTATCCCAAAAGTGAGTATTTATGAAAATGCCCCTAACATAACGTATAATTGCACCATAGTCTGTTGCCCCTAACTACTTCTATTTATTATCAAAATACCCAACGTCGGCTTCACAAATTACGACACGGCGTCATCTAATTGGTGTTATACTTCTTCAGTTCATAAAAATACTCAAAATTATTCCATGAATTCTACTTCCTTGTCAACACTGCAAGTGAATATAGTAATGGGGTTGATGGTATTGTTTTGTACATAGTAATCGATACCATAGTAAAAGCATAAGTGATAATATATTGCATAGTGTCAATAGATTCCCAACAAAAGCCACCCATACGGAAGATGAGAATTGAGAACACCAAGGATAGAGCGTGTAATTTGGAAGTATGGAGGAGAATTGCCAAGATGTATATAAAATTACTAAATAAAAAACATATTAGAATAGGGCATATCGGTCATATTACAATTTTTATATTATTAATAAGTAGATTAAAAGAATCGTTATAGAAAATTAAAATAAGCGAGTTAAGTATAGTATGGATCACAAGAAAAATTAGTGTTACGAAGTCAAATGAAAGAGGAGATTACTGATTTGTCCTTTTCTCCCTTTAGGACATTAATTAAGGAATTATCGTTTTAACTAATGATGGTTCTGTTAGAAAGCTGATCAAACTAAATGGAATAATCCGTACCAAATCGACCTTTAATATCAAGTTATTGGAACAATAAGAAATTCCTTAGTTATAGCAAACATAAATAGATTCCTTCGATTATTTACTTGGGAAGAATAAAGTCCACACAAACATTTTTCTCTCCTTTCATTTAAATGATTAATGATGATATGTTCTCCAAATCAAAATGTTTGTTTTACCCTTTGCATTCGATTCTCCAAATTGAATTCGAATTAAGTTTTTGGTGATTTGATTTGTCAAAACAATCTAATTAGAACATATCTTGGATTTCATTCACCTTCAAAATCTTACGTAACAATTCAATCGATCATCAATTGTACTGGATTTACGACAATTTCAATAACTGCACCTACACCGCTTGTTCGTGAAACTGTAAAAATTCGATCGGTCGTTTTGTGTATTTGAGTCTGTGGTGATGACACCTAACCCAACCCGCTAGGTAAGTCAATTAATAACAATCCAATTCCAATGAGATTTACTGAGAGATATAATGATAATATACAAAATTTTTATACAAAAAATTTTTAAGGACTGGTAGTACAAATCACGAGCTTCTAAGATTTTGAGTTTACAAAGCTGGTATGAAATAAACAAATCATCTGTTTGAAATATACATGAACAAATTAATAATTCTAAAGCTACCAGGAACAAGTGGTAGCTATGACCGGAACGCAGGTATGTCTTCAATGCTAGCTCCCGCCATACACAACAACATCAACATCCAAAATCTGCATGCAAGGTGCAGAATAGTATGAGTACAACCGACCCCATGTACTCAATAAGTAACAAACCTAACCTTAGGTTGAAAGTAGTGACGAACTTGGTCAAAGGTTAGAGTCCAACACTAACAGCAAGGAACAACTCATTACAATATAACTAAAGTAATACAAGTAATAACTCAAAGATATAATGCTCAACTCGTTCATAGTTCCGGAAAATAGGCATGCTTTTGAAGTATAATAGTGAAAACCCAAATCTTTTACTGAAATCACCAAAATATGAGTAAATCTAAAAAATTGAGACTTTTCCCAAAAACCTTTCAACAACAGGTAAGATGTTTCATTTTTTTAGTTGGAATGAGAAAAGTACATCTCTATGCCTGCATGTCAATATGTATGTGAAGTCATGAATGACGCAATACCGTACAAAATGAGGAAAATGTATCTCTATACCTGTATGTCAAGTGTGCATGTCAAATGCAACGCAACGCAGTGATAAAATCATATGCATATTCTCAGAGTATCAATTCGCTCAGTTCTCCCAGTCACTCAATCCTCACAATCACTCAGTCTTCACAGTCACTCAGTCCTCCCAGTCACTCAATCCTCACAATCACTCAGTCTTCACAGTCACTCAGTCCTCCCAGTCACTCAATCCTCACAATCACTAAGTCCTCACAGTCACTCAGTCCTCCCAGTCACTCAGTCCTCACAGTCACTTAGTTCTCACAGTCACTCAGTCCTCCCAGTCACTCAGTCCTCACAGTCACTTAGTTCTCACAGTCACTCAGTCCTCACAGTCACTCAATCCTTCCAGTCACTTGGCACTCACTCTCGGCACTCGCACTCAGTAGGTACCTGCGCTCACTGCTGGTAAGTCAGACTTCGGAGGGACGGATCCTGCCCAAGCGCTAATATAAGCCAATCATGGCATGAATCAATAAAGCCCGCTACGGTGTGCAACCCGATCCTATAAACATCCTCACAATCAGGCCCTCGGCCTCACTCAGTCATCAATCTCTTCAGTCTCTCGGCCTCACAAATCTCATGCCAATCAGCCCAAACAATGATAATATGATGTGAGACAAATGATAACAGAGACTAAGATATGATATGTAATGAATGAGTATGCCTGAGTATGTAATTGCAATTTAAGCAAATAACTCAACAATATAAATGACCTCAGTAGGTCCCAACAGGATAAGCATATAGCCTAATCATGGTTTCTAGCATGGATCACAGCTCAGTTACTCTAGCACGTAGAAATTTTATAGATAGAAACAAGAGTTGGTCACTACACAACACCACAAAATCAATCGAGTCATAATTCACATGGTGCACGACCATACGCCCGTCACCTAGCATGTGCGTCACCTCAACACCAAATACATAACACGTATATTCAGGGGTCTATACCCTCAGCACCAAGTTTAGAAGTGTTACTTACCTTAAACAAGCTGAATTCAATACCGAGCAAGCCAAACAATACTCTAGAAATGCCATCCCGTGCGCTTTAACCTTCAAACGGCTCGAAACTAATCAAAAGCAACTCAAATACATCTAACAATGCCTAAGGAAACAAACCCAATCGATAAATGTCAAATCTTTAATCAAAAGTTCCAAAGTCAACCAAAAAGTCAAATTCGGGCCCGCACCTCGAAACCTGACAAAACTAATAAAATCCGATAAATCATTTAATTACGAATTCAACCATACTAGTTCACCCAAATCCGACTCCGACTCGATGCTCAAAACTCAAAAATTCACTTTATGAAATTTTAGACAAAACCTCCTAAATTTCTCTTTTGAATTCATCCACCAAATACCAAAAGCGAGAATAGATTCATGAAATATAATCAATACCGAGTAGAGAACACTTACCCAAATCCATATGATGAAAATCACCTCAAAAATCATCTCAATCCGAGCTCCATAGCTCCAAATATGCTAAAATGGTCAAAACCTCCAAAATAGAGTACTTTATAAGCTCTGCCCAGGCGACCCCTTCGCGAATGCGGAAAATCCATCGCGTCCGTGATGAACAAAATAATCTACCACCAAAAATATTCTACGCGTTCGCGGCATAGCCCTCACGAACGCAATTTACAACGGCTCCAACCTTATGTGATCGCATCATCTTTTTCGCGTTCCCCAATCCCTAGCTTCTCATCTCTGCTCTACGCGAACACAAGCATAAGGACGCAAACGCGATGCCCAGGCCTCACAAAGGTGCACGAATGTGATGAAGGAAAAAGACCAGCTCCTCTAATACACTACACGA